TAAACCTTTTTGAAAATCAATGAAATTTTTTGAAGATCAATGAACTCTTTTTTCAAAATCGGTGAACTCTTTTGAGTGCATGAATTTTTTCTAATTCATGATTTTCTCAAATCTGTGAACTTTCAAATTTTGTTCAAATCTTTTTCAAAAAAGTTCACATTTTCCTAATAAGTGTGTGCAGGAAATAGTGCGCTACAGTTTGTTATTAAACTTCTCGCGCTGAATTGTTTTACAAGTGCCTAGGGGGCGTATCGTTATCCGACCTGCATATAAGCTAAATGACGTGAGCTCGATTCTTGGCGGGGGCAACTTTTTAGAGGTTTTTTTTGCTGCACTTCGTTGTTTTTGGGCCGGCCCATCAGGTGCGGCTGCGAGCACCAGTACCCTAACCAGCGCATGTTAGGCGAACCGACGTGCATGCACGCACCAGTGCTGGGTCGGCCCAGCTACGCCTGGTTGACTGGTTGTTAGTGGACCCATTGACGATTGACTGGTTGGCTGGCGACTTTTGAAAAACTAGATGACCAGTTGCGCCAAATGGTGCAAAGACCCGTTTAAAATCATGTTCACGTTGAAAATATTTGCATTTTTTCAACAACTGTATATTTGAATACATTTGGTAAGAACTTATACCCCTATATATAAAGAAAATTAAATGCAAATATTTTCTTAAGGTAATAATGCCACAAATTAGATCATCGGTAGGTCAAGATAGTTGAGTCTCCAATTAGAAACTCTGAGTAGCTGTAAACTTGCATTAAAAAAGGATTCCAGTGGAAAAATATGTTGATCCAACCATGACTTCTACTGGCAAATGCTACTTTATCTAAAATATACAGATTTCAGTGCTCAGAAAGTGCAAACAATTTGTACATTGAGAAATCTATCTTGGCATTCAGTTTATAACATAACAAGGAATGAGAGCTTTGACAAGCTTTTACACTTGGTCAGATTTTGCATGCATGATTTGTCAGATTGTAATGTCATGATTTGTCAATGACTGAATGTTTTCAGCAGGCTGATGTACAAAACCTGAAAAATAAATTCAGTTAAAGCAGAAGTGCAGAGTGTATGTAACAGAAAATTCAGCTATAGAAGAAGCGCAGAGTGTATGTAACAAAAAATTCAGTTATACTAAAACCTGAATGTTTTCAATATGCTGCTGTACAGTGTATATGCATATTTTCAGACTATCACTGAAAATATGCAGTGTATGCATATTTGAAGAGTACTCAAATGTTCCGAAAATAAGATGTGAGACCAATGCATAGATAGTCCAATGCCGAGACCAATAAAATTTAGCTAACACTGGACAGAGATGTCTCCTTGCAACAATCTCTACAGAAAATTCTTGTACTCATCTTAGCTCTTAGCTAACACTGGACGCTGGAGTAGTTTCAATTTCTAAAAGAATGGGGTGCAGTACAAGAACTAAGAAACCTCTGCACACCATCCAGAAGCATTTTTAAGTCTGCCGTCATCAGTTTGTCGTCATAGGAGTTTATGTCTGCCGTCATCAGTCTGCCGTCATGGGAAATGTCTTACTTGCTTACAATGTCTTACTTTCGCTTGGAAGGCTAAGCTGTTGCTTCATAGCATCCAGAAGCACTTTTGTTGGGATCCCGACTTTTCCCATGACGGCAGACTGATGACAGAAAGTAAGACATTGTAAGCAAGTGTTGGAAGCTTTACAACGTATGATTGGACATGTGTCTGTATATCTATCAATTTTTGGTGACAAAAAACATCGCTGATAAATATCCGTGATAGTGGTTGAATTTGCATTTTATTTGTACAAACTTAAACTCCTATGTTTTAGACAGGGCATGTATGCTAGTTAGGTAAGATATGTGTTAAATTGTTCTTTGACGTTAGTTTTAGGATGCCCAGTGTAGTTCAGTTGATACATGCATATATGTGTTGTGTAGGTTTCCGGTTAACCTTTTTATTCTAATAACAGGTCATCCACTTTAAAAGTAATTTCCTTGGTAGCTTCAGTTCAGTTCTGTACATACATGAGTGTTTCTTCCTTCAATTTACATGAGAACAAAATAATCCATGCGAAAAAAAACTGAGAACAACAAGGTTTAGCTTGCTGCAATTGTAGATTATATATGCATGTACGTACTATCTCTAATGCACCAAGAAAATAGCATATTAACATGTATGAGCATGTACAAATTGATTATTCATGTGTTGATTAGGAAGCATGCACACAATAAGGACTAATAACTCGATCAAGGAAGAAACTTCATTTCCTTAATAGCATTTGGCAGATTAAGCTATAGAATAAAAAATGAAGTACCATCAGGCTGATCTCTAATTTTCACTGAACTAACACAAACACTTTTTACGCACTATTACTGTCCATTTGGAGTACTATTTGTAAGTGAATCTTTATCTACTGCTGTACAGAAGCTAACTTGAATTAGGTCGGATGAATTAGATACTTCTGCCATTGCCATGAACAGATCAATATGGCATGCGTAGTATACTGTCACTTCTGCTTCAGAAGTAAAACTTTTCTATCTTTGATCATGTCTCTAAGAAAAGTATTAAGGGAAACCAGCTATGAGGAAAAATAAATGACCAAATTCAGAAGTGTGTGCTTCAGGTACCTTTCGGCAACGACATCACCTGGTCTCTGAAGAACACATCCAACTCATCCTGCTATCCTACTACTGTGCCACCCCAAGCCTGAAATCCTCGATGCTCCATCCAACCTCTGCATGGCAGTAAGGCAAAACCAAGATCGATGTCATGATAAAGCTTTCAAAAAAAAATCAGTGTTCTTAACTAATGAATTACAAAAATAGGTGCAAGCTTATATGAACAATTTAGCATCAAACCCTTAAGCATTTGAACTAACATGTCCATCCCATAAAACTAAAATGTGTTGAACCTTGGCGCTGGCAGAACCTATTTCATGACAAAACAATCATGAAATTCTATCAGGTGATTGCAGGAGATTGTACATAACCACAAGAAGTAAAAGATGATATTCTATTGTATCCAACTAACCGAATAATCGAGCAGACTAACGGGATGGAGAGGCATATACGGCATCAGGTACATTGACGGTCACAGCTAGCGACGCTTGTGTGGGAAGTTGTGGTCGCTGCTACCAGTACAGCAGCTGTGTTGTCGGAGGAACTGGTGGTGCGCTGTACACGTCATTCTGCGGCTCAAATCTTCTTGAGATAGGTCAGAGGCATCTAGGTAATAAGAGAAAAATAGAGAAAAAATAAGATGGTGATTTGGTTAATTGAAAGGAGCCATAGTTTGCAGGGAAGGGAGACGCGTTTGCAACTCGGCGCTCACCCTCAGCATAGCCGTCAGGTAGCAAGAATTTGTGCACGTGCCTGGATCCTCTTATTCCCATATCATCTACTCCCTATTCCCCATACCGCCACATCCACGAGCTATAGATATTTGGGGGAGCAGACCACTACTGCTTCTATGCTGAAGGTACTACAACTGGTAAAACGACATCATGAATTAAATTTTATGAAGAAAAGTAACCTTTAGCAAAAGAAGGTATTTAGTCTATGCAGAAATCATACTACTGTAAAATACATGATAAATATATGATAATGCCTAGTCGAACTGATGCATCTGGGAGCTACAAATGGCAATAGGACAGTACCAAAAGGACATACTATTCAATTCCAGTCTCTAGAGAACAAAATCACATTGCTCCTATTTTTTCTTAAAATAATAAAACAGTACTAAAGAGCCGATATTTAGAATCTGAGCGCTCACCATTTAAATGAGAATCTAAGCAAAATATGGGAGTGCATGGAGGTCACCATTTAAGTCAAATAGGTAAAATCAACCTTCATAACAATGAAATAGAAATTCTATTTGGAAAGGGTGTTTCCGGGAGCTTCCCACCACTCTGCTTAATGAACAGGACGATATTGTCCTGAATCATCAGCTAAAACATTGTTAACTGGTCATTATTGCTAACTCAAAAGAGAACTGAAGTACATATAGTGTATTCAGCAAACCCAAATTATAAGGGTGCAGTACAGAAAAATTGTATGCCAAACGGATTAGAAGTTATATGCAAATATTAAGATAATTACACTTGTCGGGGCCGAATGGAGAGTCAGCAAGAGGTAGCAGCGCGTTTGTTGACTTTGATGCACCTAGGCATGTATGTCAGCTCCAAGAATGAAGTACACCACCTGCTAACCTAACGGCGCCACTCTTCCAAGGTTGGTGTTTCCACGCCAATAGTCATCATATCTCTAATACTTGCTGGATAACATAAAGTAAATGCCTACAGTCACAACTTGTACTAAATCATAGGAAACAGATTAAAGAGAATTAAGAATATGTTCATTTTCTCTCAACTATCAAAGTTGGCGAGATTGCATTCAGCAACATGAGCCATAGTTAAATTACATTTAAAGCTTGTCCTGCTTAATGGCAAATAACATGCCAACATTAATTTAAACGTATGCATAAGGAATCAACAAGAGCCAGCACTGCAAGTATTTCACATGAAGAGTAAAATAGAAGGGCTAGTGTGAAAGAAGAGTACTCACCCAAATGGATATCTGGCCTTGCAGCGGTTGTTGCATCAATAAGGACCATAACTTTCTCATAGTCCAATGCCACAATGTCGTAAACAGTCTGCCGGATGCAATTTTTCTATCTTGACATGGGTTGAGAAAAGATAATCAGGAAACTAAAGCTGCTAACTGAGAACACAACCAACAAATCATCATATTCCCTGAAATCCCTGAAAATACCCTCCTTCACAGACATAAAAAATTCCATAGGGTTGTCATATGGATCATTGATGGTGCCAACAATTATCTAATTATGATGAGGATGACTTAGCTATATCATTTGTGCTGCCAACCTAAAGAATATGGTCTGCTTAGTAAGAGATCCATTAATAAAAAAGGAGGAGGAAGCAGAGCACATCACACAAGCTTGCATATATATAGACAGATGGATTGTGCGGAGCTCACCTTGGCATGTTGGCATCAGACGTGTTTATTGTTGCTTCGCAGGTGCGCCGTTAGCCGCCTCTCCAGGCTGCTGCACCGTGCAAGCTCACCAGTATCACAACAATAGAATAGGGCTTTGACCACCTACCCTGAGCATGCAAGGCTCCATCTTAACCCATGTACAGAGGGGATTTTTTTCGGAGCAGATGTACAAAGGGATGAATAACGGAAATATGGGAGCTTACCAGCAAAATTGTTTGCGCCTGCAGTTGCATCCTTCAAACGAATATACCGTAGAATTAAAATTGAATCAAGTCAATCAGAAATCAAGGTTGGGGGATGAAAAAAAAAGCTTCAGATGTGAATGTTTTCAGGTTTGAGGAGCTCACGTTTGGCCCTCTGCTGATGCTGACCATGTGTAGGGACAGAAGAGTTCAAGACATCGCTCGGGGCCGCGAAGGAGAGGAGGTCCTCGAGAGGCGGAGTGAGCTCGTGGGGGCGGCGCCCGTCGCCTCGAGTTCGTGAGGCGGCGGAGCTCAGGGCGGAGGCCGGAATCGAAGTTGGTGCCATCTACTCCTCCCTGGACCACCAAGGCTTGGAGGGGCGACGGTGCGCCGGGGACATGGGGTGAGGGACAGGCGCACCCCCCTCTCCCCTTTCCTCTCTCTCTCCCTCTCATCTTCTCTGTACTGCTGACCGAATTGAGCGCCGCCGCCATCTCCCTTTGCCTGCACGTCGTCTTGCCCGTGCTAGTTGGGTAAGGAGGCAGTGGAGGTGGAGGCAGAGGAGATGAGGCAGCCGAGAGGGAGGAGGAAAGCCGCGGCGGCGGCCTAGAGAAGAGGAGCGGGATGAAGAAGAGATGAGGGAGAGAGAGGGTCTGACGAGGTAGATATTTCTGCCTCAATCCATCCACCCAATCCCACGCTGAAGAGTCATGTTCCAAGACTCTAAAAGGACCGGCTGAAGAGTCATATAGATGCATGCGTGTTAATTGGCTACAATCTTGATGGCATGCAACTTTGTAAACTTCTACTTAGAACAAATTAGGTAGCTAAATTAACAACCAAGAGTACAGTGTCGATCCATATTATCCAAATTGAGACGACGCAAATCATATTTGGGAGCTATAGCTGCTAGTGGACGCAAATAATGAGCATCAACAACAACAACAACAAAGCCTTTAGTCCCAAACAAGTTGGGGTAGGCTAGAGGTGAAACTCATAAGATCTCGCAACCAACTCATGGCTCTGGCACATGGATAGTAAGCTTCCACGCACCCCTGTCCATAGCTAGCTCTTTGTCGATACTCCAATCCTTCAGGTCTCTCTTAACGGACTCCTCCCATGTCAAAATCGGTCGACCCCGCCCTCTCTTGACATTCTCCGCACGCTTTAGCCGTCCGCTATGCACTAGAGCTTCTGGAGGCCTGCGCTGAATATGCCCAAACCATCTCAAACGATGTTGGACAAGCTTCTCCTCAATTGGTGCTACCCCAACTCTATCTCGTATATCATCATTCCGGACTCGATCCTTCCTCGTGTGGCCACACATCCATCTCAACATACGCATCTCCGCCACACCTAACTGTTGAACATGTCGCCTTTTAGTCGGCCAACACTCCGCGCCATACAACATTGCGGGTCGAACCGCCGTCCTGTAGAACTTGCCTTTTAGCTTTTGTGGCACTCTCTTGTCACAGAGAATGCCAGAAGCTTGGCGCCACTTCATCCATCCGGCTTTGATTCGATGGTTCACATCTTCATCAATACCCCCATCCTCCTGCAACATTGACCCCAAATACCGAAAGGTGTCCTTCCGAGGTACCACCTGGCCATCAAGGCTAACCTCCTCCTCACGGCTAGTAGTACTGAAACCGCACATCATGTACTCGGTTTTAGTTCTACTAAGCCTAAACCCTTTCGATTCCAAGGTTTGTCTCCATAACTCTAACTTCCTATTTACCCCCGTCCGACTATCGTCAACTAGCACCACATCATCCGCAAAGAGCATACACCATGGGATATCTCCTTGTATACCCCTTGTGACCTCATCCATCACCAATGCAAAAAGATAAGGGCTCAAAGCTGACCCCTGATGCAGTCCTATCTTAATCGGGAAGTCATCGGTGTCGACATCACTTGTTCGAACACTTGTCACAACATTATTGTACATGTCCTTGATGAGGGTAATGTACTTTGCTGGGACTTTGTGTTTCTCCAAGGCCCACCACATGACATTCCGCGGTATCTTATCATAGGCCTTCTCCAAGTCAATGAACACCATATGCAAGTCCTTCTTATGCTCCCTATATCTCTCCATAAGTTGTCGTACCAAGAAAATGGCTTCCATGGTCGACCTCCCAGGCATGAAACCAAACTGATTTTTGGTCACGCTTGTCATTCTTCTTAAGCGGTGCTCAATGACTCTCTCCCATAGCTTCATTGTATGGCTCATCAGCTTAATTCCACGGTAATTAGTACAACTCTGAACATCCCCCTTGTTCTTGAAGATTGATACTAATATACGCAAATAATGAACATCGAAGTAAAAAAAGGGACAGGTAGTGACAGGTGGGTACACTGACAGGAAAATCTGCAAGGCACAATATGAAATTAGGATATGTCACTCGATGACTCTGCACATCTAGAAAAGGATGGCAAATTTTACGTAGAACACCACCCATATTCTTTTTTCTTATCTTGTCTACGGGGAGTTAGCTTTGAGAAGTGTAGAATTTGCACACATAATAGTTTGATAATCTGAAATGAGTGTGTGTGCGCCAGAATTGTTATTAAATAGGATAGCATATACATTAGCTTGAAAAAGGGGACTACATATCATTGGACCCGGACCCAGCTCTGAATAGAGAACCTACATTTCGTATCCAATAACTGAAATTTGTGCGATACATCCATAAAGGAATATTAGCAGGACATGCAGAAATTGGTGGCTGGACATATTGTTTAAGCAAATAAATAGCCACTACTTTCTTGTGCGCAACGGAGCACGTACAAATTCAGGAACTAAGCTTTAGTAACGACCGCATGGTTGATGTGGGAAAAACAACATAGCTATTGCAGCACTGAGCTGTGAGCCTTGCATGATGTGCAGGTAGGCTAGCTTGATGGTGGAAAATCAGTGGCGATATGTCCACATTGGTATTGAAGAGCTTGACAGATGTAATCACTTTCAAAAGGAGACCACATGTGTTTGGATTCAGCTTTGAACAGGGGAGTTTATTTGACACACCTCTCCTCCTTAATCAAATGGTTAAGGTCTAAAAATATATAATGGTGAGCACAAGAGCAGAGTAGTCATGGTTGAGCATGGCCAGTTAACTCTGAAAGAAGAAAGTTTGTGATATTACACTTAATATGTAAAAGAGGCTCAAACAATAAAAATTCAAAATAAAAATAATGCTCCTGCAGGATATTTTGTATTTACAACATCAGACAGTACCATCAAACGCTATATATTAGTTAGCTATAAGTAGGAATCTCTCATCGGATTGTCCTCTAAATAATACCATGGAGGCATGAAACTAAGTATTTTCGGTCAGGAAAACAAAGATGCCAGCTTCCACCATGAATCGCAGAATTTTCATATAGTTGTGCTCACAAAGCTATTTAAACATAAAAGGAAACAGTAGTACCTTGTATATTTGTACAACCTATCAAGAACAGAGTTGTCAATTAATCTCTTTGTATTGATGCCCTTATCACCAGGCCCAGTATCACTGATACCTTCTCTTCCGGAACCATAAGTAGTGTGGTCATTGTAGAAATATGACAAGTTATATTCTACTTGTGTCTATCTCTATCTTGTGATTCCACTGCCCACTGTCGTGGTTGCACTGCTCATGTCGGATTAGAGTTATGGTGCCCTGAGAAACACGAGCAAAGTTTGAATACTCCAGTGGTTATATTCTACTTAAAATGGGACCATTATGCATAATATTATGTATGAATCGCTATGAGAGAGAACTGAACAAATTATATAGCAAACTGAGTGTCATATTCAATTATATCCATGGAAAATATATTATGATCTCTAAACTACAGCAGTGCACAAAGAAGCGACAACCAACTAAGGAAGCGGAAGTGGACGCTCACAGAGATGACAGACCCAAGTCTGGGAAGGATGACAGTCGGATAGATATCTCATCTCTGCTTCTGCTCATCTCCGTTTATTAAGATGCGACAACATATGTATATATATGATGTGCACCCAACTCTGTCCTGAGCATTGCCTGCTGCTGAACCTGCACATGAAAAAACTGACAAATGTTCTTATTCTTGTTCTGCCTTATGCAACAGGTCCGATGAACCTACAGCTCAGTAAGTAGGTTACGGAAAGAAATATGGGGAATGATGGGGAAAAAGGTTGCAGCTAACCTGGAAGGGACACCCTGTCACCATCAAAAAGAGAGGCTATTTGTACAGCAACACAACTCGGTGTAGGAATCAACGGTCACCCAAACACTAATCATATATATATTACCTGTTTTCCTGCAATTGTTAAGATCAAAATCAGCATCTGTTAACTAATGCAGAGCGTGAATTTCTCTGCAGACAAAAAAGGCTTTGCAGATTCAGTATAGCTGACACAAACAAAATGCATTACTTGTTTTCCTCAAGAATCCGTGACTGAAAGCTGTGGAGAGCAAATTGCAAAATATGAGCATTAGTATCACAGAAATTCAATGGAACTTCAACAAGACCAGGGCTTGTTTTTCACACTATTGAACGCTCACGTCTTTCATATTTGATCCACCTTTCAGCTGGGCAAAACAACAAACAGGTGGGGGCACAATATCTATTTATGCTCAGAAAAGAAATTACCAAATATCCAGACACGAGGGCGTGCGTGAGAGGACGGAGGCGAGGACGCGCGGACTGATCGCTCGGGTGGATGGACGGCAGCGCAAAAGCCGGACGGAGCCGGCCGTCTCTGCGGCCCACGCTCCTCCTACTGACGCCGGCGCCGTGGACCACCGCTGTGGCTCGAGCTCCTCCCGGGGTCGCCGCTGCACGCGTGGAGATGGAGGCGGGGTGCAGCCTCCCGTGCACCGCGCCCGAGCCCCAGCCTCCTCGCAGCTCCCGATCCAGGAACGGATCGAGCCGCCGCCAACCGCCAGGTCGCGCCTGACCTCGCCGGCGCAGGCTGACGCCGGCCGCCACACCTCCCTCCCCTCTTTCCTCTCTCTTTCTCCCTCCTCCCCTCTCCTTCCTTCTCTCTCTCCCTCTCATCTTCTCTCTCTGCTAGGGTTTGTGCGGGAGGAGGGGATTGGGGAGGCTAGGGTGGGGGCTGGGGATGGGCGGTGGCTGGGGATGACGAGACGTCGCCGCGCATGAAGAGGAGAGGAAGGCGACGCGAGGAGCTGCGCCAGCCGGTGGGGGAGACAGGCGGCCGAGAGGGAGGGGGGAAGCCGCGGCGGAGGCGGCATGGAGGAGAGGAGCGGGATAGGAAGAGACGAGGGAGAGAAAGGGGGTGACGAGGGAGATATTTCTGCAGCTGCCTCTGTCCGCTCTCGCTGCCAGAAAGGGGGTTCGCTCGCTGTGGCGCACTCTTCCCTCGCGTGGTGCGCTACGCCCTTGCTGTTTTGCGGTGGTTTTTTACCCTCGCGTGGTGCGGTGCGCTGGAGGCCTTCATTCTGCCTATCAGTCCACCAGGGTTTATATGTTCAATGATTTTAAAAGGTAGATTAAAGAAAGGGAA